CACGACTCCTCCTGGAGAAGGGGAAAGTTCCACCATGAACCAGGAGGACAGAACAACTGAGCCCACTGCCAACACCTCCCCTTCCCTCCCTGCCACATCCCTGACAACCCCATCCCCGACAAACCTCAATACAGCAACATCTGTCAATCCTTCTATTACTACAACTTGTTGTGAGTATTTTAACACATGATATTAAATTTATTTTGCTCTATTTTTGGAAGAATTGAGTATAATTTCCTTTCATTGCTGTTGTTTTTGTTGGAATTTGAGCTTCTTATATTGAATCCAGGAATATGAATCCCTGCATCCATCTGTTTTCTGAAAAGCTGCAGTTCCTGTCTGAGGTTGTTTTTGAAATGACACAGCTTGTGTTAGGCAGTACCATAGGGATAAAATGCTTTACAGTTATGCTGCATAGGCCAAGTTATGTCAATAGGAACTTTTATTGGTTTCTATTGGTTTTTATATGGTTTCTGTTGGTTTTTATTGGTTTTGTTGATTTTGATCTTGAAATTTCCTCTTCCAGAATACTAGAGGCAGTTTCCTCATTGGGAGAATGCAGTTAATTTTTTTTTTTTTTTTTGCTAACTCAATTCTTACTTGTTTCAATACTAATTCTTTTCCAGTGCATCTTTAATTTTTTGCCAAAAGGGCTATCTGCCCATATTCAAAGAATATGCAGTAATGAACTTTTCATCATTTTTCCATGGGATAAAAAAGTAAAGCAAAGATGGAGAAGAAGAGAATGCAGCCTTTTTGTACTCTGCACCCAAAAAACAAAGGCAGCATGACTTCCATTTTTAGAGCATAATATTATTCTTCAGAGGGGTCCAAGGGGTTAATCCATCCTTTTTCTGGAGTCACAGTATTCATGGAGTGCAGTAGGAGATATGAACACACACCGTAAGGTACAGCTTGGTCTTTGACAGTGGCTCCATGGCCAAGGACAGCCCAATGGCTCCTCAGGGGTCTTAGAACCCCTTTGGTCACATCAGCTGTGAGGTAAAATCCCTGGATATCATTTCAGAAAGGGAAGCCCGATAAAATCACTGGAAATGCATAATTATGCAAATATCAATCAAGGCAGTTTCTACACCTTGGTAAAGCTCTCCTGGACCCAGTAAATGTCCACTGGGTGCCTGCTTGCAGGCATAAACCACGGTGATAAGTGAGTATTCTTAACCCTACTGTGAAGCACATTTAATAAATACCCCTCTACTGCTCTGAACTTAGGTTTTTCTGGTGGTATTTTAAAAACCCATCCTCCTGAGGATATCAGGATGAGTCAAATACCAGTCCATTTCAGAATGCTCATGTTTTTCTCAATCAGCCTCATCAATTCTCTACTATTTAAAAGCAACATTGTACAGTTCTGACCATTTACCAAGGTTTGCCTGCAGTTAAAAAGGCAAGGAGCAAGCAGAATGTCCCATTTGTGTTTTGGAGCCATCAAACAAAGTATATTGATGTATGGTTTTGGTCTGTAGAGCAAATGATTAACTTCTGCTCTTTGGGGAGAATGAGGTGGAAAAGTGAAATCAGCTCCAAAACACCACACAAGAGTTTATATTGGTTCAATTAGTATTTTTCCTTTAATAATAAGTGTGTAGAATTGCAGGAGTGAAATGGGCTGCTCTCAGCTGTATGAAACTTTCCCACTTTGCAGTGACAGAGTCCATCAGAGTACAGAATGTGACTGCAGAAGAAATTCACCTCAGCTGGAGCAGCAGCAGCAGCACAGGCGGCCTCTACAGCATCTCTGTCAAGGATGGAAATGAGATAAATACAAGAACTACAAATGAGACAGAAACTGTGATTGAAAACCTGCTTCCTGGCCATGTGTACACCATTTCTGTGGCACTGTCATCTTGTGCTGGGAGCAATCCTGCTTCAGTCACTGTCCGAACAGGTACCTCCTCCATCCCCCTGGCACCTTTTTAATTCATAGAAACTCACAGTGTCTTGTTGCCATATGATCTGGATTTGATCTCACACACTCTTGTTCCTGCAAATTGTTTTTTATTTATTTGATTCATCCCCTTATTTAGATGGGACTGCTTGAATTCAACAGGAGTTTGCAAGAGTAAGAGCTTGCTCTGTAAAATTTCTGATCCTGTTGGATTATTGAGGCAGATAATTCTGTACAGAATTCAAGATATTTTGGCTGTAAATTTACCAGAAAGTATTCTGATTGTGTGAAGTTTAGGTTTTACATGCTCTTGTGTATGCAGGCAGTCCTTAATTGTCATTGTTACCTTTGTGGTTTCTCCCTAGGTTATAGACATTAAGGCAAACAGTTTAACTGTGTCTCTGTACTAAAACTGATTCTGCAGGAACATGACGCATAATATCCCTCTAAATCAAAGTTTCCCCTTTTAAAACTCCCCATTGCCATCTCCCCCTTAGCCAATCCCTTTAGAAAAAACTTTTTCCACTAAACAAATTCTCACTTGGCACTTCTCCATCACAGGCAGAGATCTAAAAGTCAGCCTGTCAGTCAAAGGGAGCCACTGGGTTATTTTGGCATGATCCAGTTTGATAAAACTGTGCTGCACTTTATCATCCCTTCCCAATGGCTGAGAAAGTGCTCATGATTTCTTTTTATATAACTTGAAAGATCTAACTTGACTTTTGGCAATTGTTATTTCTTCCAGCATTTCTTGACCTCTAAAGCATAAATGTCCTTGCTGCAATCACTTTCTGAGTTCTCTAATGGATTGTCTGATTATTCTCAAAACCTTTCTAGGGCCATTATTTTGGCAGTGGACTGTGGGGTTCCTTCTGATGGACATACCCTCTCTCTTAGTCTTTAGGAGCACAAAGCCAAGGAATTCTCATCATTATTTCCATTGAAATATTTCAGTTCTTCAGCCCACTGGCTTTCATTTATTACTTTCTCAATTCAAGGAAAAAAAAAAAAGTTTCCTTTTGCAATCTGGACCCTTCTACCCTACCAGAAAATGGTTTGTAAGATAATTAAAAAGAGCAATAAGTACCAAAACATCCCTATTTCATGTGAAATTAAAGATTATGTTCAATTCTATGAGAGCTAGAGATATAATCCAATGAGCTAACCACATAAAACCTGCAATACCAGCCTTTAATGTGTTTTGACCCTTCATAAATAATTCAGATTAGCGGGTCCAGAGAAGCATACTGAGGTTCTGAGACCCCATGATGCATATCTTTTTCCAAAATAAATTTCAGGGGACTTTTACTTCTGAAAACTCCATCTAGCTTACCTGAGTTGTACAAGCATGTAATAGCACAACCTATATCTTTAGCTCTCATAAGAAATCAGAGTTCTCAGTGCTATTTCAGTGAGTTCTCAAATACCACCTACCCACCCACCACCTACCTCTCTTGTGATATGCTCCAATTTTTTAATTTGCAATTCTAAGTTCTCACTGGGCCAAAGGAACTGCTGCTTGGGTGACTCCTTGGCCATAATTAAAGACTTTCACCTATCCCATAATTTTCTTATTGTCATTGATAATGCATGCACAGAAGTGATTATCTTGATTTTACCTTTATTTTGCAGATTATGGTTCCTGTTTCAAAGGGACTGAGTTTTGTTTAGCACAAAGTACTGGCTGTTCTGACTTGAAAGGCGTGGCGTGCTCCAGTAAGTTTATAGAACCTCAACATTTGTTTATCCATAACTGCAGGGTATTATTTCACAATATAGTATCTCCCAGGAGTATTTTGCCATCTGCTTTATGGTGTCAGTTCACACAGCATCTGAAGTTCACACTTCTTTGGTGAAGAAGCTGCCTCCATCAAACTTCAGTGTCAGCTTCCAGCTCTATTTTAGTCTGGACTTTTCTATGTAAAGCTTTCTTCTTTTGGCTCAGGGCTCATCCACCTACTCAGGAGGATTTAAAAGCCTTGCAGAGTCTAACAGACTGGTGTTACTTCTGCTGGAATCAATGGGAGAGTGGCGGTTGAATTAGGGAGTGGGATGCACCCTAAATAATACAGGAATGGTGAACAATTCGTGAGGATTGTGATGGCTGACAAGCTTGGAGAGAGTCAGCTCTGAAGGTTCCAAAGCCACTGCATTAGACACACATGATACACTTTACTACTACTACTACTACTATTATTATTATTATTATTATTATTATTATTATTATTATTATTATTATTATTATTATTATTATTATTACAATTAATATTATAAATACATTATATTATTATTGTTGATATTATTATTATTATTATTATTATTATTATTATTATTATTATTATTATTATTGTTATTGTTATTATTATTGTTATTATTATTATTATTTTCTGCTTTTATCAATTCATATTATAAACACATGAGATCATAAAGTCCAAAGACCAATTGTGGAGGTAATCCTGGGATTCGCCTAATTGTTCCTTCTTTTTTTAATTTTTTCCAGATAACCAAGCATTTTCCTGCAAAGTTCGGTTGGAAAATGAGAAATTTAATAATACACTTTATAACTCTGATAGTGAAGGCTACATAAATATGTCTAAAAGACTCAAAACAGAGGTAAGTTGATGCAATCTTCTTTGTCAATGAAGGAACTGCAGAAAGCTTGTGATTAGCAGCCTCAGTCTCCTACATTCGTTGTTAAATCAGGACTCTGACAGGTGAAAAATAAAAAACAGTACAGGAAGCACCAAATCTGCTGAGGACAGAGAGCTTGTTGTCCAATGAGGAGGGCTACATTCCCTAAGCCATCCTCAAATATAAGTTATTTAGTGAAAGGCACTTGAAAATTCTATTTTTGTAAGGAACATCCCGTTCTGTTTATTTTCTCCCACTTCACTGAACTGATGCCTGTGGAGGCAAAAAAAGGGAGTTACTCAAAACCGGCATTTCAGCACAGATTTGGAAAAGTGAAAACTTTGCAAGTGTGTACTGTAAATCCAGATTATTGGCAATTCACTGGAAGTGGAATCATGGAAGTGGCTGCAGGATTGGGAAACGTATCAAGCGGTCATTTTCCCCTATCTCAGGGGGAAAATGAGGAGAGAAAGTGGAAGTTTTGAGCTAGCAATGCTGCCAGGCAGGAGCACCACTCTGCCACTCAACTGTCTTTAGCAGCATGTTAAAAAAAACCCCTAATAATTTCAACACCTCTCAGGATTCCTGATGTATATCAACCTGTGAGATTGGGGTAGACTGCTTTAAATATCTAACACAGCTATTTTTAGTGTGATGATCATACCCTTTAGCTAAGAAACTCCACAGATTTCAAAAGCAGTAATTAATTTGTTCTCACCACGCCAACTCGGAGGTAACCTTGTCTTATGACTGCTAACATCTCCACTTCATGGATAGAAAATTTATTTTAGTGGATGTAAAAGGTTTCCTCCAACCTCACTGAACGCAGCAGGAATTCCTTTACTGGCTTTTAATAAGCTTTTACCTCATGCAAAGTGTCAGCTTTTCTTCAAATAAATGGCAAAATCAAAGAGAGGCTGTACTAACATGATTAAAAATATAGACAATTTCTCTATTGGATTTTTTTTTTCCCATTTTGAATGTTGAACTATTTCTTTTATATTCCACTCTGTAGTTGTAGCTTTGAAATGTTAGTTTTGCCTGCATAATTCAGGTTTCCTATCTAGACTGCTCATCAAGGTGAGGAAAAGAAAATAATTTTTGAAGCCTCTGTCCAAAGCACTTAAAGGGATGCAAAGTTTGGAGTGAGGGGTTTATCCCATAGAAAAGATGGAGGCAGAAAACTGAGCAGTGACTCAGAACAAGGTTTGTTATCATCTAGGAAAAATAGTAATCTTTCAGACTTTTCAGGTAAAATACCATATTTTTCCACAGGGAGAAGATAACTTCTCTCAGTGGGTTGAATCAAACACCTAATTTTCTGAAAAGATCAGTCCTGACAAAAACATTTCAACCAGTCTTACTTAAAAAAGGGGACTGCTTGTTCTGGCTTTGTATCCATTTGAAAGCACTAAGCAAGGCTCTACTTTTGGAGATATCAGTAAAATTAATTTGATTTTGATTGATGTCACAGGAATACACTTGGTTTATGCCAGAATGATTGAGAGGCAAATCACACCCTTGTCTCTCTTTGCAAAGGTGTTCTGTAACGTCATGACTTTGAAAATCTGGTGACAAAAATAAGTTTTAAATCTCTCACATGAAGTTTTGTGCTGGTAGTATGTGCAAAACCATGCCTGAAATTTGATTGCACATGTTAAAAAAAGTTAGGGGACACTGAACATAACTTTAGAAATATTGGGTGCTCTTTGTAGATTCCAAATTTTGTACAGTCAAGGTCCCATATGTGTTTGTGGAGGAGGACAACTTGTTTTAATGCATTATTCATTGATAACTAGCTAAACAGATTGGAGCTTTGGAAGTCAAACTCAGATTTCACATTTTCAATCACAGACAATGCATCGCTCTGGCATCCTCTTCCAATGAGTTTTTTTATTTGTTATCCCAAAGCAATTGCCTTGAAAGAGTAGTAAGTGAGGAAAATTTAATACCTTGTTATATATATAAATATATATATTTAACAGATATGGTATACAAAATAATAATATATTATTATTGTATATTGTATATATTATATATTACATAGTATATAGTATATTGTATATTATATATTGTATATAGTATATAGTATATTGTATATTATAATTAATATTATAAAATTTAGTGCCCTGATGTGTGCAGGATGTTTGTGTTCCTGTTCTGCCTCAGCTGACTGACAAGTGGAATAAATATCAATTTCACCTTGCACAGGTTCTTGAAGCAATGAACGCTGAACTGGGGAATAACCACTCTGATATTTTCATTCTGGGGTTCAGATCTGGCAGTGTTATTGCTGATTTTCTCTTTCTGCTGCCAAAAGAAGAAGCCATGGATGTGGGTGACATTCAGACCCGCCTGAGTAATGTATTAACGAGCAAGTTTGGGAGCCAAAGTGAAGTGGAAAGTAAGTGATGTTGAAAGAGCTTCTCTGTAATGGTGTAGGGATGAAAGGGTCAGATCTACTGCTGTTAAATTAAGGTGATAAATTAACTTCTGTCTTTTAAGAGATTCAAATAGTTCAAGTAACCTATTTAAACATTCACTGAACATATAGTGATTTAATACAGATTATGGACCTGTTTTAAAGAGTCATTACACACATCCAGTTCCAGACTCAAAGGATGTGTTGTCTTCACACTAAAAGATCTAAAGACTCTCAAGTTACACCATTCCATCCAGCAAATCCTCAGAGCAGCTGTTATGGGTGTCACCAAGAGATCACAAGGGCCCTCATAAAAGATTTCTAGTTAGCAAATCTTCACCACATTCAAAAACATTTTCAATATTATTCAAAATTTCAAAGCTGCCAAGCAGTAAAACACAGCTGTCACTTAGGGCTCCAGGATTTCTTACACCCACTACTTCACTGTTTCTAGCTAACATTCCTAAAATGTGCTTTAAATTTCCAGCTGTGTCTGTTCAGACACCAGATGACAACATCTCCTCCTGGAGAGCAGCAGTGATTGTCCTTGGAGTTCTGCTGGGAGTTGCATTAGTGGTGATTCTGCTGGCAATTCTGTTTTACATCCATGGGAGGAGAAGATCAGGTAAATACTTGGTTCAACCCTCAGGACTCATCGGAATGTTTGTCTACAAGCACTTATAAGATAAAACATCAGCTTCACTTAAAAATTTTGGGCAAGGCAGAAAATTAATATATTTATCTTATAATTTGATGTTATTATTATATTATATATATATACTGATGTTATTATTATATTAATTGTGCATAATAACTTAGGATAATTTACACCCTTTCCTTCCCAATGTCCATTGTCAAACTCCTGAGCTTCTAACAACACCTAATGAATCTTCCTTTAAACAGGTATGGATTTTTCTTCATTGTACACATGGTAGAGTGAGGAACAGAGAAACTTCTCTTCAGCCTATCCCATATAGGTACTGCAATGACTTTAACACTGGCAATCTAGAGAGACAAGACCCAAACTACTCAATATTATATTTAGGTGGCACTGAAAACAGGGTGACTGAGCCTGGTAGCTGTGGCAGGTCACCTGAATGCTCAGCTGAGCCCAGAGTCATCCTGTTGAGTTTTGTGCACTTGCCCAAGGGTGATTCACCTCCCCTGAGACTCCTATCACTGTATAAAATTACATATATATATATATATATATATATATATATATATATATATATATATATATATATATATATATATATATATATATATATATATATATATATGCCTTTTTCTCTCCTGTGACTGTAGAATGAGCCCAGGGTAATTAGCAATCCAGCATTTGCAGCTTGATTAGGAGTTTGGAGAAAAATGGGATACATCTCAGTTATGTGCGCTTGCTGTAGAAGTCTGCTGGACAGAAACTTGATTTGGAGGTTTCTGAATTCAAGGTTTCTTTAATTGCTTAATATGAAGAAATAACTGTTTATATGTGTCAAATGTAAGGCGTGCTAAATCCAGCTGTGGTCTCACAGCATAGTCTCAGAGGTGGGGAAGGCAAACATTTGGTCCATTTGAGCCAAAAGTATTTTATTCACCTATTTTTGCCTGTCAGAAATGGTTGGCTGAGCAAGGACATGCCATATAGTGCAATTCTGTCCTGCTCTTGATAATCCCAAAGTAGAGCCCAGTCCAACAGAAGCGACTCCTGTGGCATTGGAGACCTTGCTTCAGATTTCTTCTAATTGCTCTAGAGCAATTACAAGAAATGATCTTCACCTTTTCCCACCACTCTTCCCTGCAGTCCTGGTGGAGTTTCATTCTGTTTCTACTGTGGTGCAGTTTTTCCTGCTTGGAATGTGCTGAACAGATGACAAAGGGGCAGTTTACTGCTCTACATATTTCCAGCAGGATTTATGGGTTTCATTTCAAACCAGCCCTCCCTGTATCTGTATATTTGGAATTCCCATTGAGGCACTGAGTATTAACCCATGCTGTTGAGGCCCTGGCTCACAGCCCCTGAACACCCCTGGTTTTTGGGTTTTTTTGTGGTTATTTGGCACAGATTTGGGTACATTGGTGCCAGAACTGCAACACAAGCAGAGGTGCACCAGCAGCTCTGCTCTGCTCCCTGTGCAGCCAGCATTCATCCTTCTCATCCCTCATTCCCTGTGCTGTGACACAGCTCCTGGAACAGCCCTGCTGAGGACCCTGGCTGCAATATTATTTTTAGCAGCAGGGACCTATGAAACAGGGGCTTGCATGCCTTGCACTCCCTTTCCTTCCATGGAGGGTCAATTTGTCTGTCCTGGCTAAGATCTGGGGTGTGGAGTCACAGACACCTCAGTGGTGGGAAGAGAGTGATTAGTATTTGTTACATTTCTATTTTGTGGCTTTTAAATATAGCTAGCTCTGGTGTTCCACTCACTGAGTAGGCATTCAGCAATGTATTCTGTCAGTAAATACAAGTTATCCAGGGAGCTCTGTTGAAAATAAAAATGAGTGCTCTTGCTTGTGTTAATACTCTTTTATTTCTCTTTTGAGGGATATACTTTGAATAGCAACTCCTCATTGTCAGTAAACCTTTCAGATGTCTTTGTAAATAGTGTTAAATAGAGACCATGTACAGCAGGCTTGAACAATCATGGGACTGTTCATGTCAAATGTATTTAATGTCTTTGGGGGCAAAAAGTGGTATTTTAAACAATTTTCTCACAGATGCTTTACAAATAAAATCTTTATTTTTACAATTGTGCATTCTGAAGTTTGTCATGTAATTTGGAGCCTCTTGTACCTGCAGGGGGGGAAGGGTGGCCAGTGCAGTCAGCATCAGAGCTGACCTTGGTTTGATTACACAGAAAGATGATCTGCTGAAGCTAAATCAATCAAGAGAGAAGATCTACTGAATCTATCATTTTTTACCTTCTACATCAATAAAAATCCCCCTACCACCACAGTGTGGAGTCTAGAGTCTGGGAACTCTCTCAAAATGGGAGCAGGAGAAGCCAGACCTCCCCTTTCAACAGGGGAGCATTTGGGAATGCTCCCAGACACCATTCAGAGGGGCTCCTCATGCATATTCCCTTCTCAGACAGAGACAGCAAGTGGCACAGAGAAATAAATGGCTGAGGATAAGACACTTGGAATCAGTGGGATTTAAGCAACTCCTCCATTTTCGTGTGTCAGGATGTCTGTGACTGAAAAAGGGCATATTGCCTGTTTCAGAATTGCTTCTCCCCCCCTGGAACTGACTGATCCAGAAAAACTATGATCCAGAAAAACCTGAGCTACCAATCCCTCCCTGCATGCTGTGATCAAGGCCAAGGTCTGAGGAAATGCTGCGTTCTGTTCCTATTGCAACTGATGGGATGACACTCGAGTCTCCAGCTGACTGTTTTTTTAACAATTTCACTTTCCCACAATTTATTATTCCAGCTGATGTCAATAACCAAAAGATTCTCTTCACAAGTAAGAGAAAATCATGGTGCTCTGGAACCAGGACCATTCCTAGTTGTTGCACTGCATTCCAAGGGCACAGGCAGTTTGGGACAGGATGAAGCCAAGCTTGGGAATAGCAGGTTGTGCACTTGCCATCTTCTATCTAATTTAGATTATTTCGTCTGGGGAGATGCCATCTTCTGTCTAACTGAGATTATTTAGTCTGGGGAGATGTCATCTCCTATCTAATTGAGATTATTTAGGTTGTGCTAGGAATTTCCCTTAGTGCCTCTGTCATTGTAGATTCATGATGGTTGTGCACTTGCATCTCCTACCTAATTGAGATTATTTAGGCTGAGGAGTTGCCATCTTCTGTTTAACTGAGATTATTTAGGCTGGGGAGATTCCATCTTCTATGTAACTGAGATTATATAAACTGGGGAGATGCCATCTTCTATCTAATTGAGATTATTTAGGCTGGGGAGATGCCATCTTCTATCTAATTTGGATTATTTAGGCTGGGGAGATGCCATCTTCTATCTAATTTGGATTATTTAGGCAGGGGAGTTGCCATCTATCTAACTGAGATTATTTAAGGTGGGGAGATGCCATCTTCTATTTAACTGAGATTATTTAGGCTGGGGAGTTGCCATCTATCTAACTGAGATTATTTAGGCTGTGCTAGGAGTTTCCCTTAGTGCCTCTGTCATTGTAGATTCATGATGGAACAACACTTTGAAAGGGAGGAGAAAGCACCAGGAGAAGCTCTCAGATTTAACCAAGCAGGCCTGGGAACACTGGGGATGCCATGTGTGCCCTGCTGTCCCCCAGCCTGTGACAAGCCAGGTGCCAGAGGAACAGAAGGAACTGGGGATCCACACAGGGAAGCCCCAGGGCCAGAAGGTTCCTCTGCAGGGAGCTGGATCTGCCATGTGCTGGAAGAAACACTGGAGTGAGACACTAAAGGGCCTGAAGGCACTCAAGGGGCACAAACCAGCAACCAGAGGGGTCAAAGTCACAAAAAGCACTGCAATGTGCCTTCCCCAAATGTAGCTGCTTGCTTTCCTCTCCTCAAACAGCAAGGAAGGGCTGTAGGAGTTCAGGACATCCCAAGCACAGACTGACTACAGCCCAAGGAGTGTTTGTGTGCCCTCAGCACTGCCTGGGAGAAGGAACATTTGGGGGATTTGGGGCTGGCAGCTGGTGCCAGGGAACAGGAATGAGCTGCTGAGACATCAGGCAGCCCCCTCCTCAGGCCCACATTCCCTGCACTGGACACTGCAGGGCTTTACCACGGGCTGTGGTTGGTTCTCATGATTGAATTTGGAATTAAAAACCTGCTGGCATCAGCTTCCAAGTGTACTAGTGGGGAAAAAAACCCCAGGAACAGATATATTACTGTTGGTAATCCAAGCAGAGCTGTGTCATTTTAGTCACTTTTATGGGAGCTGGGCTGTCCAAGGACATTGCATTCTGGGGACCTAAATCAAGAACATCCCTGTTGAGCTACCATTAAATGGATTAAGCTGGTCTATCAGCCTGCTGGAAACCCAGATTTCCCTTCCTGAGCAGATCCAGACTGTGCTGCTGCTGAAAAGGAGTTGGATTTAAACATTTTTTGGTGTATAAACACACCCACCTGCCAATTGTTTTCAGTTACCTGGTTCTTTTAAGGACTCAGTTTCTGAACAGTCAAAAAAATTTAGGGTTGTGCTCAACTTCTGGTTAGAAAGTTTGCAATGGAAAACTGGGATTTGCCCAGCTCACATCCACTTTGCTGTCCCATGGCCCCACTTAAAATTTGTCCTGAGAAACTGAAGGTCTGTTGAGCTGCAGGTTAAACCTGTCTCCATTCCTCTTGCTGTGGGGGATAAGTTTATTTTTCTGGAATAAAGAAAGTAATAAATGAAATACTGAATATTTCTGAAATTGGGCTAGAAATTATAGCAATAATTTATTGTTTAATTTAGGGATATTTAAGCTCTGGTGGTGTTCTTTGGGCCCTGTTCTAATCTCTCCATGATCCTGTGCTGGCAGCAACACAACACAGGTTAGGCAGGATTAGAAACAACTCAAAATGATTTTAGGATGGCTTGATCCTGTCAGTGGTTGAGGCATTTCCTACACCAACACTGGACTCACAGAAGACAAGTTCAGCTTTGACTTCTGCATTTCTGTGCTCTCCCACTTTGGCTGAGTTGCTGCAGAGAGTCAGGGCAGCTCTGGGATCCCACAGCAGATGTGCACAACCAACCAAAAAATTACTTAATGGATTAATTAGAAAAGGGGATATGTGTGAGTGGGCTGACTTCAAAGGTATCTCACTGTCAGTTATTCCTTCTTCTCAACTTCCAGCTTCATTAAAAAATTTAATTTTTTTTTTTTTTAATGAGACTGAACGATTATAACACCACAACTGAGCCTCCATAAATCCTATCAGCACCTTGATTAGACATGGAAAACTCGCCATCCAGGAAGGTGTGGGATCAGAGAGAGCGGCACTGTGCAGCAGGAGCCAGCAGATAGCGCTCCCTGTGCCGGCATCAGCTGCTCCAGGACCGGTTTGCACCAAAATCTTCACTAATTCACCCATTTTTGGCTCAGCCTGGAAACTTACTTCCTTCCAATGGCTTAAGTGCACTTCAGTTCTCTCTTCAAGCCGTGCCCTCTTCCCCAGCACACGAGATGCCCTGAGAGTTGGGGAATTAATAAATTTTATTGCTCTGGAGAGGCGGCACAGAGCAAGGAGAGGCTGGGGACATGAGG